GCTGACCAAGCTTGGTCTTGTGGCCATTCAATTTCAGGAGCCCTGAATTTCGTAAAATCTTAAAAACAGTATGAAAAGAAACATGTAAGAAAGTAAAAAAAAAGCATTTCATAAATGTGTTATTTTCAGAAAAAGAAAATAAAAATATTTTTACTGGATATTAATCTTTTGAATGTCTGATTTTGATTTTAAATTAATGAATTTGTTTTTATTTTTATAGAAATAAGATATTTTTAAATTTTCTAATTGATTATAGTATTTAACTAAATTAAATGATTTCATGGTAGTAAAAGCTTTATTTCTTAAAACCTTCTAGCAAATTTTCGTGAGCATAATTTAATAAAGCCTATGACTATTTGAAAGTATAAATATTTAGCTGACGAAATTGTTCGGTTACTGGCTTAATTTTTTTTTCTTAATAATTTTTTCTGAGTAATATTTTCCTAACTATATAATTTATCAGTACGATTTGCATTCTGGAATGAAATAGCTCTAAATCTAATTAAAATCGGTATAAAATGAGCAAAAAAATTTAATACTTATTTACGTGAACTTAGTTCGAATAGGGGGCTCCAAAATAATGTTATCATTGGTCCCATTTTTTGTTGATGTTTGGGTTCGTTTAAATATTTTGAAATATTCTATAGATTTGCATATGAAAAGAATAACAATATTTCTTTATGCACAAATATAATGACTAAATATTTTCGTCCATGAGTAGACAATGCATATAATATATAGTTTTATGAACACGGCATTGCTAAGTCTAGATTTAATTCAGAGGAGAAGTAAACTTCTAAATAAAAATTTTTGATATTCATATTGAAGCGAGCTTTAAATCGTGCTAAAATAAATTTAATTGAGACTGCTCTAAATTTTATACAAAATTACGAATTGTTAGCAGCTTATTACAGCTAATTATTACGAATTATTACATCTAATTACATTAAATTTACTAAAGCCCTCAGGATTTAAGAGGCTTTATAATTAACACGAATTCAACTCACTATGGGGATATTTTCTTATCTATATCGTCCTACTGATATTGAAAATATCTTAAAATGACTGAGCTTGCTGAAAGTAAATTGACTTGTGCGAAAATCGACTTACTAAATGGCGAAGCTAAATTAAATGCGCTAATTTTGAGCGACAAAAAAAAATTATACATAAATATTAATTTGAAAATATAATTATTTCTCTCAGTTTAAAAAAGGAAAATAAATAATGGCGCATCAAATGCATTTTAAATAGTATTTTATTTCGTCATCTTTTTTATTTATTTAATCATTTAATTCATCATACGATATAAAATACATAAAATATATAAAATTTTCAACCGATATAAAATAAAATTTTCAACCGATTTTTAAATGTTGTTAATGCAATAAATCTCTTCTAAGATTCCTTAGTGAATTTAAAAATAATATTTTATCCACGGAACTTGGAAATTATTGGTATCAAATCTAAGATAAAATGCGTTTTGAAAATTAGAGCCTGTATTAACGGTTAAAGTAAACAATAAATATAATGCGGAAATCAAAAATGCATTTATTTCTTTATCTTTTATTGAAAGTAAGATTATATATTCCTCATGAAGCGATTTAAGGAGGAAGCATTTTCTCACAACCTGAGTTTACATAATTTTTATTAAAAGTATAAATAATTTTAAAAATATTTCTGTCAGTGTTTGCTTAATTTCTTATTACTGTTCATCTCGGATATCTTTAAAGTTCTTTGAATAGAAAATGTTTATTCAGTTGTTTCCGTTTTAATAATTTACAAGAAAATAGTTCTAGATTATATTAAACGATAAAAACAGATATTTGTTTTCAATTCGAAAAGTAAATGTTGCAAAGAAAAAAATAATACATTCATGAATTCAGTGTAAAACATGTGAATAAAGGTTAATTGTTTTGTTTTTTATCTATGAACTATATTTGAGCTGCATTTGTTAGCTAAAGGTGTTTACTTTGAACAAACATGTTTTTTTTAAGGAAAATTTAAAGTTTTCAAAATAAAATTCGAAATTTTTCGTGCTTAATTGCATTAAAATTTATTGAACTACCGTTACAGGTCTGTTTAATGAATTTTTAAAGAATGATTCTTCTTTAAATATAGAAACAGACATGCAATAAACTGTAAATTGAGTTATTTATACTCTGAGGAAAAAAGTGTGGCTAAAATTACTAAAATATGGTAAACTGTACACATTTTTGGCTCTATGGGGATCATATTCTGGGGTGTTTCACAGACCGTCGCAGATAGCCCATGGTTCAGCTCCAGTGCGACGTAGCTAAAAGTACATACCTGTCTCTATACACACCAAAACTCACGGTAATTTTTACCGTAGTGCTTCAGTAATGACTTTTGGCAACTACTACTACTATTCCTACGACTATTACTACCAGTATTATCAAATTAAAGAAAAATGTCACAAAAATCGGAAAAAAAACAACACAAAGAGATTGAACCTGCTACCTCTACACTTCAGAGAATTTGGAGGAAGAACATTATGAGAAGAACAATGGAGGCCCCAATAATGTATTGTTGCTTTACTGGAAATAAATCCTAGAGTCTTCCTCACCGTATGGTACTTCAATTTCGCTAACCGCTCTGACGCGTGGTTATAGTGGAATCGAATCCCGCTGTAACACTGTGTGTATATTCTTGATGTCTTTCTTTAACTTGTATTTTTTGGTATTCAATTTGAAAATAGTTTTTAAGCTATTTCAGGTATTTAAAAAGGAGCCCACATATGTATGCGAATAAATAAATAAAACCCATAACCCCTTAAAAGAGGCATAATACGGGAACCATACCTTGATCTATCTGAGTTCAATATCCTTAAATCACTTGAAAGCATCATTTAGGCTAATTTTCGTTCGGTTCTAATTAAAAAAATGCTAGGGAAATAAATAATTAACTGTCAGCTAACTCCTCTCAGACATTTCAATATTAGGAGATTAAGGAAACAGTCTTTAAAGTGCAACTTATTGTAAAACATTCGCATAAAAAATTTGTAAAAAGTGTTACATTTACAAGTGACTGTTTCAAGCTTTTTGCACATCATTATGATTCGTCGCATTTGAATAACTTAAAAAAATAACGAAAGAAACTTGAAATAATTAATATACATTCAGAACATTGTGAATAAAATTTCTATAAAATGTTAAACAATTTATTTTTTTTTAACAATATTTCCGAGCTTGATCTTGAAAGTGGCGTAAGTATAAATTTTGCAAGATGCTTTAAAGTGAGTGAGTATTTCTAGCATTTAGGAGAAATTGCGCAACAATTTCTTCGAAACTATACCGATAATTTTTTATATATTTATTCTATTTAAATAAAATGATATAATCGTATTTTTCAAAGCTTAGTACTTTTCAATAAAATGTTTATGAATATCGTGTATTGAATCTTTGCGACAAAAATGCTAGAATTCTGTGGTACGATGTTTAATATTGATTTCTATAACTAAATAAGCATTTTCTCTCGATATTAGCTATCGACAAGTTTGTCGACCCATTAATTATTAAATAAAACTAAGTAATCACAACTCTTGATTTTATTTTATTTTCTGATAATTAAATAGTTTAATTATTTTCTAATCAAATCTTTCAAGCATAAAAATAACGTGAATCATAAGTGTTAATTAGAATTTCTGACAATTTCAGTCATTAAAATCAATTTAATGATCTTTTTTGATGCTTTTTGAGCATAAAATGTTTGAAAACAAATTATAATTTAAAATTTTCCTTTACAAATTAATTAAGGACTTAAAACTTATCTTTCAGTTTCAATAAGGGTTATTAACTTTAGAATTTTTTAGCTACTAACTTTTTCTTTTAATTATTTAACTCAAAACTTTAATAATTTTGGTAACTGTAAAATAAGATAAAAAGAACTAAAGTATTTTTTTTTATAAAAAAGAAGAATGAAAATTTAAAAATTATAACTAAATTGGGTAATTTATTAAAAATTGAATAACTAGAATTAATGGTCAATATTAAGGTGAGATATGAAAATTGAACCTATAAAAATTAACTTGAATTGACCTGAAAAAATAACCCTGACATCTAAAAAGGGAATCGAACCCATAAAAATTGAATAACTAATTAAAAAATTAAATAATTATTTAAAAATTTGAACAACTAATTAAACAATTGCATAATTAATTATAATTATAATTAATTACAAATTTATTATTATAATGATAAATTTATTATTATAATAATAAATTTATTATTATAATTATAATTTTAATTTTAATAATTTTATTAATAAAATAACAATAAATGTTTGGGAAATTATTAAAATTAACTTTTTTTATCAAATGGAATTTAATCAAAAAAATACCTGTACTTGCTCAAAAATTAAGAATTATACTAGATTTACTTAATTTATAATATTTCATTGGAAACTTTTCGTAAGTATTTATGTGATACTAAAAAAGATTTTGCTTTTGAATCATTTTTTTTTATAATTCCAAACTGTATTCAATACAATATTTTCAATTAGTAAAGGTTTTGGTCACAATATTAAGTTCAATATAAGTATCCCAAGACAGATTCATTGTTTCAATTTTGTTTTGATGGTTCCCGATTTTAGTTTTAACAAAGAAAAACTTTGATGAATTTTAAGTACAAAATGTTTCAAGCACAATGTAGTGGGTGCGTTTCTAAAATGGAGCTATTAAAGACCTCCAATTATCCCAAATTTTGAGTTTATTCGTTTACGTTTAATATATAAATTTTATAAATATACATGTTTTTATTATTGGATGTGTTCTCCCACAGATCAAGAACACAGAGATACTTAATAATGTGAATTTTATTTGATTATCACGCTGTGCTTGTGGAAAGAACTGTTTCCAAAATACTAATTTTTTCTAAATATATATTGTGAATTGACTTCGAACATTTATAAAATTAAGCATTTTAAAATTACTTAGTTTCCTTTTCACCAAATTAATTATAATTTTTTTTAAATTTTTTGTACAGGTTATCCACATGACTCTTCTAAGCCGGCTAGAAGCTAGAAAAAACAGCAACATTCGTAATGGTGAGAAATCAGAATGGCAAAACCAACAAGAATTTCAAGAAGCTCAACTTAAGAAGGATATGACGCATATGTTGGAAACTATTAAACAGAGTAGTGTCCTTGATTCCAGTGGTGAATATCGAATCATTAACTTTGTAATGCGAGCTGAAAGTTACGGGGTAAAAAACAATGTTCGACAAGACTTGAGTCTAGTCACGCAAACTACCATTAAACATTTAATTCATCTCGAATCAATAGTTAGCCGATGGCATGGTCCGATATCCGTCGCCATTTTTAGTCTGACACAAGACATTCCACTTGCCATTGACGCCATATTGAATATCAGACGTTGTGTTCCAGCAACCAGAACAAATACAAGTTTTCACCTAGTCTATCCATTAAACAGCCCTTACAATAAGGCACCTTCTCCTCAACCAGTAGCCCTAGATCCATGTGAGAATATGAAAGATAGAATTTCTAATTTTAAAATATCAGATAACTACGCTCACGGTGTTCCATATCCTAGTAACCTTTTAAGAAATGTAGGCAGGCGCAACGCTCTAACGGACTTTATATTTGTCATGGACATCGATATGGTACCAAATGACAATTTGTACTCCGATTTTATGGAATTTGCTGCGACGAATAAACTGTTCGTAGAATCTCATAAAGACGATAAAACTGTTTATGTTGTGCCTGCCTTCGAGATTAAAGAGGGTATAGAAATACCACAGGACAAAACAGGATTGCTTCAGTTGTTAGAACTAATGGAGGCAAGGCCTTTCTATTTTGAAATGTGTTGGAAATGCCAAAAACACACGGACTATGAAACTTGGCAGAAAGAACCTCCAAGTCCAAAACTTGCTGTTATATTTGAAGTTCTCTGGCGGGATCCATGGGAACCATTTTATATAGGACGTAATGTTGCGCCATTTTACGATGAACGTTTCAGGCAGTATGGCTTCAACAGAATTAGCCAAGTAAGAAATAATTTTATTCCTTATTTAAATTGAAAACAATAAAGCAAATTTCCAAATGCTTGTTAAAGTTTGATCAAAAGAAGTAACTGTTTTCTCTCTTTGTCGTAAAGCTTATCGAGTTCTTATATTCATGCTACAGAGTCTAGTTCAGATAATGTCTTTTTTTATTATATCACTTTAAATAAACAGTCAATCTATACAGTGAATGTGCTTAAATGTATTCTTTCTACACCTCTTCACTTCGTCGGGAACATAGGACTATTGTCTTGCCTCTCCATCTCACCCCGTTGATGGCCAACGGGCTACAAATTTTGTTCATTGTCTTTAATTAATTTATAACATTTCTCCACCATTTGGCTTACCTCTTTTTCATTTACCACCTTGGGATGTATTGTTGAGCACCTGCTTTATTTTGAATTTTTTCCAGTTTTCTGATGGAGTGTCTGATCCATTGCCATTTGCATATCTATTAGTTTTTGCTTACTGATTCTGAATAATTCATTGTTAGAAGTTTTGCAAAACCATATTGTATTAAGAATTCTTCTAATACATTTGTTGGTAAAAGCTTGTTCCGTATTTCAATTTGTTACCAAATTGTACCAGATTTCTGTACAAGAGTACTGATTTAACATTTAAATTAAATATTCTTAATTTTGTTTCGTTTGATATAGTTCTGCACTTCAAAAATTTATTCAAAATCACGAAATCACTGCTTGCTTTATTCAATCTGTTGGCAATACCTCCTTTGCCATTTGTGATACTTAATTTACTTGGATTAATTTTTTTATATTTTGAACCCAACTGAAACGAAACAGGGAAACTTTTATGTTATGTCATGGAGTAAACTCACTTTTTTAGGACGATTGCGTCAGAAATATGCTCCTCATCTTTTGGGCGAGTGCAACTATATATTGAGCTTCGTTAGATAAGAACATTATTCTAAAATAAATAATAATTATAATTCAATACTTGAATGTAGATCTATCAATAACATGCTCACAAATTATAAAATTGAAGTTAAACAGTAGCATTCAGCTCTTTATATGTTTTATTTAATAGCATATCTTAGAAAATTTATGCCCAAACAGTTACATATTAACATATTTAAATAACAGTAACTTTTACTTCAAATGAAAGAAAACTGAAAACCTGATGCTTTGAATATCATAAATAAAACTCATATTTTGGATCACTGTTTCATGATGTTAAAGTTGATTAGCTTTTAATTTGTATGTTTATTTCTTTTTCTCTGTTTATGTATTCTAAAAACACTTCTTGCTGAATTTATTCATATTCATTAGAGAATATATTTTGAATTAATTAATTTTAAGGATTCTGTTTAACTGACGCGAGTTTTCTCTAAATACTGAGTTTTGAGACTCTTGAAAATAATAAAATAAATGTGCTCAGTTATTTATAAAAATATAAAATCAATTTTGTTGGCATTATTTCTTTATAATTGAAAATTTTCTTAAAATTGCCAACTAATAAAAACTAGATTACTTTTCTATTTGCTTTTCTAAATACAATTTTAAACATTTCAAAAATTTAATAATGTATGAAATATTTTGAGAGCTTCTGTGTGTTTTACTAATAAAAAGTGAATATAGTAAATTATGAAAATTCTCCTAAAAGCGTATTTGTCAACCTTTATATATTTTTTTTCCAACTAAGTTCGTCAATAAAAGAATTTCACCCTTTATAATTGAAAAAAAGCCTCCTCCCACACACTATTCTAACTTCTTTTTTTTTTTTATCAGAAAGCAATTTTTCAAATGTTCTTAGAAATGATAACTTTAAATTAGAAACCAAATAGAGGTTAAAAAAAATCACAAAGCAATATAATCCATTTCCCTCTCAAAATCCTGGTCTTAGTAAAATAATCGAAAAATAAAGAAATATTTCTGCTAACAATTTCGGTGGATATTCTTTCCAACTCTATGTATATACAACAAAAATGACAAACACTAAATGAATAAAATCATAAAGAGGAAAAAAAGCAATTATCTTTTGAAAGTAAAATCCCCCTGGGTCGAAGAAAAGAGGGGGGTGGAAAAAATATAAAAAGTACCCCAAAAAGCCCAAAAGCAGAAACAGTTACCTTTCTTTTCATAAATCAAAAGCGGGGAAAAAACCGGAAAAGAAATAACCGGAAACAAAAGCGTAAGCATCAAAAAATTCGCACAGACTTACCTTACATACCTTTTCAAAGTTATCAGTCGGTGACATCAAAGGAAAAAAAAAGGAAACTAAAAGAAAATATCATCCTTTCCATAGCTTCTTTCTAATACCGTTTAAATTGAACTGGAAAACAGAAAGGATGAAAATTTTTTGTTCTTTGTTTTTCATATTTTTCCTCTAGATTTATCAGGATGCTCTCTTGTGAATAGGTTCTTTTCAAAAATTTTTACTTTGCACTTCTTTTCATTATCTTTCATCACGAAGAATAAAGAAAGAAAACTGAAAAATAATATACTCATAAATTGACTCCTTCAATATGAGAAAGAAATTTAAGAAGAGGAAAAAAATTTTAAGATTAAAAAATAAATAAATAGAATACACAGTGAAGGACTTGAAAATGCACTTGATTAATGTTTTTAAAATTGTTTGAAAAGTTTTGGGAGTGAATACTGGACAAACATTTTTAACCTTGCTGCTTTAGAGTTGATATAGAATTTGAGTAGAAAAAAACTGTGTAAAAAGTTTAAGAATACTTTAGAATAGGCTGTAGAGTTAGTTTAATAGTTCTATTATGATTCAATTTATTCATTTTAACTAGGTTTAATAAACTAAATAACCTCGAAACAAAATTGCTCATATTTGTTAATGCAAAAATTTTGAATGTTGTATAAAAAAATTTTTTTTTCATAGCTGAATTTTATTTATTTGAAGTAAGAAATAGAAAAAATATTTTTTTTCTCTGTTTTTTTATATCTTTCCTTGATTTAAATGAATTCTTGAAAGCAGGTTCCCGTTTTAAAAAAAATACTTTTCTTTCCTTTTCATTATTACTTTAGAATGCCTAAAAACTCTAACTATAAATTCTAAAATTATGAAACAATTTCCATAAAAATGCCTTTACATTTCTATTTCTTAATGCACTTGTTGAACGACAGTTCATTGATTAAATTGCAAATAACAAACAAAATTTTTTTGGAGTTGCAAAATGACTATGCAATTAACTTTTGAAAAAATAAAATAATCGCATTATTTTATAGGCCTATACAAGGCTTAAGCTTTTATTAATATACAAGACTTACATAATAACGCATGAAAATATATGTAAACTACATATCCTTTTAATATGTTTCAAAATAACTTCTATCTGATGTAATCTGATGCATCGGATGTAAAACTTTCTGAAAGAACTTTCAATTTGAGAAATTTAGTTTCCATTAGTTTTTAGAAATAAAGCTCGTATTTGGAATGCTCTTCAATCAATTCTGATATTCTTAATTTCTAAAAACGTCCTTAAATATTGTATTTTCCGCTCGAGCAAAATTTTAATTTTAGAAAGTATTGCATAAATATTTAAAGATTTGTTTAAAGAGTAGATTTATTTACTGATTTGCACAACTTTGGCAACCAAAGTTGTGCTAAAGAAACAAGATTTCAAAGTCATTAAAAAAATTTTAAATGTCAAAACTTAAGAGCATTACAAACGAGAATTCCGAATGTTGTTTCTGAAAATTTTGCATTCTGGATCTGTCGTGGAAATTAAACCCACAAATTGGGTCAACTCGTTTCATATAAGAATTAGTAAACAGATAAGATTGTGCTCTCTCCGAGCATTGGTCTTACTTATGAGTCAAAACAAGCATAAAATGAATTTTAAGAAATATCATAAAAAGGTGCGTACATTAGATTAAAGGTAATCTGTTAAAACTAATTTAAACAGTTTTTAATTCCGATCATTTTATAAAATATTTTTTATTAGATTTTAGTACTATTAATTCATTGTTATTTTTAAAAAAAGAGTTTTGTAAAAAACGAAAATGTGTAACTAAATATAAGTTAAAATAAAAAAACGACAATCCTTAGAAAATAAGAAACTTTTGTTGTTGCAATGCTTTCAGAAACAAATATAGTAAAAATCAATTAAACTAACGGAAGCAGAAAAAAACATAGGATTTTAAAACCGAACGTGTTAGTTTCGATTCGGCTAATTATTTTTTTCCTCAAGAAAAATGTTGTTCGCAGAGCTCACTGAAAGCAATTACAAAGAAACGAAATACCATCGATTGAAACAAAATCTGCCATTAAGGGTTAGAACTTGGTAAATAAACTTTATTTCTTTAAACTAAAAGAAAGTACTTTTTCGTGCTAATTCTTGAGTGTAAAAAAAAGATAAAATGGTGTTCAAATGAAATGTAATATGCTTTAGGTTCAAACTGTTATGAGTTTTACGACAAAACAGTAAAAAGTTAAATACTGTTCTAAAATATTATGATAAAAATATATACTGTTCATATAAATTGAACATCATACCCTATTTTCTTATTAAATGGATTGAAATGCAAATACATATTAGTAAAAAGTTTTAATTTTGAAATAAATTAATGGAGAATATTACAGTATTTCTATGTATTGAAATGCAAATACATCCTAGTTAAAAGCCTTAATTTGAAATAAATGTATAGGAAATATTACTGTTCTTCCATATATTTGACGTTGTTGCCTCTTGCCTTAATATGGTTATTGTCAAAGTTGAGCGCAATATTATCACAATAATTACATGTATTATATGTTGCTCTTCAGAGATCATTGAAATTAAGGACATGCAAATCAAACACATAACCTTAAAACTTTAATCTCTAATTAAATGTATTGAAATGCAAAAACATACAAAACATACAAACAACAAAGATTTAATTTGAACTAAATTAATGGGGAGTATTATAGTAAGGTTACAAATTACCTTCTATGAAATCAAAGACATGCAAATCCGACACATTACTCTGAAACTTTAATCTCCAATTAAAAGTCTTGAAATGCAAATA